GCCCGCCTCTTGTTTCGAAATGATAAACTACAGAGAAGACATATTCAACAACACCCACCACCAAAACTTGAACTACTCCCATTCAAAAGTACAAATTAACTGTAATTCTATTATAATACACTCACGGGACGACGACCTCAAAATTTGGAGAGCAGTGTCGCGATAACGAAACCGAAGCATGGATCCTCGGTTTTACAGTCCGGCATAACGACTAGGCTACACGCACACATGAATAAAATATGGTGAAAGAGATTTTGACAAAAGAGGGCCTACTTAAATAAATCTACAAAATACAAGGAAACACAATTTATCACCCTGAAGTAATTTAAATTTTCAACAATTAATCACCTGACACTCTACACTACAAACACCCCCATTTACTGATATTGTTACAATCCAATAATCAGATTACGAAAGAATCATCACACATCAAAAACAAGATTACCGACGCTATTAAATTACAAGCAACTAACGTATTTTATTTCTACTAAATATAATCATTCATAACACTTGTGTTAACGTTCGAAGAAGAAAAAAGACGTTTGCTTGACACCCGATATAATAAAGGCCAGCGCAGGCGCAAAAGGAAAACTTCCAGGATAAATTTTGAAATTTTTTCGTCTCACTATTTATAACACTCAAATCGACAATTTGTTGATGCTCAGCTAGACACGTGAACAATGTGTGGTGGAAGAAACATTTAGAAAACCACTTCCTAACACTGGTCATTTTGTCAAACCACTTCCTAACACTGGTCATTTTGTCAAACCACTTCCTAATACAGGTCATTTTGTCAAGCCACTTCCTAACATAGGTCATTTTGTAAAAACCACTTCATGACGCTAGTCATTTTATAAAACCACTTCCTAACACAAGTCATTTTATAAAGCCATTTTCTAACACAAGTCATTTTGTAAAAACCACTTCATGACACTAGTCATTTTATAAAACCATTTCCTAACACAAGTCCTTTTGTAAAAAAACACTTCTTAAAACAGGTCATTTTGTAAGACCCACTTGCTTATGCTGGTGATATTGTAAAAAGCACTTCCTAATATAGGTCATTTTGTAAAAACCACATTCTAACACTAGTCATTTTATAAAGCCATTTCCTAACACAGGTCATTTTGTAAAACCGACTTTCTAACGCTGGTTATTATGTAAAAATCACTTCCTAATAGATCATTTCGTAAAACCACTTCCTAACACAAGTCATTTTTTAAAACCTCTTTCTATTGCTGGTCATATTATAAAACCACTTCCTAGCACAGGTCACTTTGTAAAACCACTTCTTAACACAGGTCATTTTGTAAAAACAATTCCTAACAGAGTTCATTTCCTAACACAGGTTATTGTGTAAAAACCACTTCTTAACACAGGTCATTTTGTAAAAACCACTTTCTAACACAGATCATTTTGTAAAAAGCACTTCTTAACACAGGTCATCTTGTAAAAACCACTTTCTATAACACAGGTTATTTTGTAAAAACCACTTTCTAACACAGGTTATTTCGTAAAAACAATTCCTAACAAAGTTCATTTCCTAACACAGGTTATTGTGTAAAATCCACTTCTTAACACAGGTCATTGTGTAAAAACCAATTTCTAAAACAGGTCATTTTGGACAAACTACTTCCTAATACAGGCCATTTTTTAAAACCATTTCTTAACACAGGTCATTTTGTAAAAACCACTTTCTAACACAGGTTATTTTGTAAAAACCAATTTCTAAAACAGGTCATTTTGGACAAACTACTTCCTAATACAGGCCATTTTTTAAAACCCACTTCCTAACACTGGTCATTTTGTAAAACCATTTCGTAACACAGGTTATTTTGAAGAAATAACTTACTAACAAAGGTCATTTTGTAAAATCCACTTCCTAACGCTGGTAATTTTGTAGAAACCACTTCTTTACACAGGTCATTTTGTAAAATCCACTTTCTAACACTGATTATTTTGTAACAACCATTTTCTAACATAGGTTATTTTGTAAAAACTACTTTCTAACACAGGTCATTTTGTAAAAACCAATTCTAAACGCTAGTTATTTTGTAAAAATCACTTTTTAACGTTGGTCATTTTGTAAAAACCACCTCCTAATACAGGTCATTTTGAAAAAAACACTTCCTAACACTGGTCATTTTGTAAAATCAATTCCTTACACAAGTTATTTTGTAAAACTACTTACTAACCCAGGTAGTTTTGTAACATCTACTTCCTAACGTTGGATATTGTGTAAAAATCACTTTCTACCGCTGGTAATTGTATAAAACCACTTCCTAATACTGGTCATTTTGTAAGACCCACTTCCCAACACAGGTAATTTTGTAAATCCACTTCCTTACGCTGGTCAGTTAGTAAAATCCAGTTTCTAACGCTGGTCATTTTGTAAAATCCTCTTCTTCACACAGGCTATTTTGTTAAATCCTCTTTATAACGCTGTTTATTTTGTAAACCACTTCCTAACACATGCTATTTTGTAAGACTCACGTTCTAACGCTGGTAAGTTTGTAAAAACACTTCCTAATACAGGTCACTTTGTAAAAACAAATCCTAACACAGGCCATTTTGTAAAAATACATTTCCTAATACAAGTCCTTTTGTAAAAACCACTTCCTAAAATAGGTCGTTTTATAAAACCAATTCCTAAAACAGGACATTTTGTAAAATACATTTCCTAATACAAGTCCTTTTGTAAAAACCACTTCCTAAAATAGGTCGTTTTATAAAACCAATTCCTAAAACAGGACATTTTGTAAAAACCACTTCCTAAAACAGGTCATTTTGTAAAACCAATTCCTAACGCTCGTTACTTTGTAAAAAACATTTTGTAACGCTGGTCATTTTGTAGAAACCACTTGCAAACGTTGGTTGTTGGGTAAAAATCCCTTTCTAACGCTGATCACTTTATAAAACCACTTTTTAACACAGGTCATTTTACAAAACCACTTTCTAACACAGGTTATTTTGTAAAAACCAATTTCTAAAACAGGTCATTTTTTAAAAAAACACTTCCTAGCGCTGATCATTTTGTAAAAACCCACTTTCTATCGTTGGTCCTTTTGTAAAAATCCCTCCCTGACACAAACCATTTTGTAACACCAATTTCTAACACAGGTCATTTTGTAAAAACCACTTACTAACACAAATCATTTTGTAAAAACCACTTCCTTAACACAGGTCAATTTTTAAAGTCACTTCATAGCACTGGTCATTTTGTAAAACCACTTCCTCATACAGGAATTTTTCATAGCACTTTGCAAGGAAGTATCAATAACAACATTTCACAAAACAAACATTAAAATAGGAACGTTACAGATTTGTGTCTCCATACATACACACACGTGTTGGGTATTTTCACCCTAGAAGTTTTGAGACTAACTATTCAGCCAGATTTACTGCTCTGAGTTTGTTCACCTTAGTGGCATAATGTGAAGCTAGAACCGCGTTGCTGATACCATTATCAGCGGAGCTATTAAGTATCAAACTATACTGACAAATCACCTACAGGATATCAGTTATATTTTACATCTATTGCCATACCGTTATTGGTAAAGGCTAAGAAATACGTTCTTCTGTAAGCTAACATTTACAAAGTTATTATATACATTAATGATATACATGTTTAATGGCGCGTATCATCGTTGAGGAGACATGTATTACGGTTTTCACTGAGCACAATGAATTCTCAACTAATAGTTAGGTTTGGGTTCATTTTCTATACGTTTCTTGTAACGGAGCACAACTACACAAAGATGTATCTACATAACTTCGTAAAAATTCATGTACTTCAAAATGTACATATATAAATGTACAAAGTATTATGTAATTCACTGAAGTCTTCTGTATTTAACTTCACAGTATAGGAATCAGCTTTCACACAATTAGCATTTACACTTTGGTAAACAGAAAATGTATTTGACTTCACAGTATAGTGTAAATGCTAATTGTGTGAAAGCTGATTCCTGTACTGTGAAGTCAAATACATTTACCGTTTACCAAAGTGTAAATGCTAATTGTGTGAAAGCTGATTCCAGATGCTAATTGTGTGAAAGCTGATTCCTATACTGTGAAGTCAAATACATTTACCGTTTACCAATCTTCGGTTTCGAGCTTTGCTCACTACAGACTTCGAACCTCACAACCCATAAACCTACAGTGTATTCGGTTTCTCTTCACATACATTTAAATCGAGTGAGGCAGCTCTACATCATATTGTCTTTCATTTTACCTTATTTTACCGTTTACCAAAGTGTAAATGCTAATTGTGTGAAAGCTGATTCCAGTACTGTGAAGTTAATTACATTTACCGTTTACCAAAGTGTAAATGCTAATTGTGTGAAAGCTGATTCCTATACTGTGAAGTCAAATACATTTACCGTTTGCCAACGTGTAAATGCTAATTGTGTGAAAGCTGATTCCTATACTGTGAAGTCAAATACATTTACCGTTTACCAAAGTGTAAATGCTAATTGTGTGAAAGCTGATTCCTATACTGTGAAGTCAAATACATTTACCGTTTACCAATGTGTCCTGCATATATCTAGTTTATAACGTTCGAAGTCGAATATCCCAGTCGTCAGCATGTCAGACTGTGGATCCGAGGCTTGCGCCCCGTTTCTTAAAAAAAAAATTGAACTCCGCACTTTGAGGCAGTGGGTGCATTATAAGAGTGACAGTTAGATCCCACTATTCGATTAGAGTAGCCCAAGAGTTGGCGGTGGGTGGTGTTGACTTTCTACCTTCCCTCTAGTCTATCACTTCATAATAGTACAGGTAACCCTCGTGTAGCTTTGCGCGGGATTCAACAAACAAAAATTGAAACCGAAGAATGTGTAAATAAGTGTGGGTGTGTGGCTTGACTTGGGCTATTATGTTTTTGGGCCAATGTGCGTGATCGTGAACCAGATGTTTCTCCGATGGTGTTTGCGATAATACATTTTAAAATACGAAGCACGGATAGATCAAATTCAAATGGTAGCTGACAAAAAGTAAGCACGAGCGAAACAATAACAGATCGCAGTTTTTCCAGATTTAGCCGACCGAGTACGTCACAGAAACTTAAAATACGATTGGACGAGAGCATCGTTCCTGTGTTTTCGTTTCACGACGTGGGTCGCTCGCCTCTTCTTTTGACAGAAACTTTACTGCTGTAGACTTGGACCACTGAGAAGTTCTGATAACTTGCAGTCAACAATCAGGTAAGAAAATTTGTTCATCTTAGTATAAGTAGATGTATGTTACACATGATGCAAGAAATCACAGGGAAACAATACGCAACGCCAAGCTCTTAAGTTTTTTGCTTCTTGTCTTGTCATACATTCTGTCGTCTTTTAAGAACCCCTCTTCCAAATGTGTGTATTTATGTTCTGAAAGACAAACAATACCGTAGGCTTAAAAATATGGAGTTCCTGGTTTATTCTGAACGCAACCGATATGACGTATCACGTGACTAGCAAAATATACACCAGCGGGAATTTCTATTAGTTTGACGTTAAGCACAAAGCTACACAGTGGGCTGTCTGTGCTGCACCCACCACTTGTATCGAAACCCGGTTTTTAGTGTTAAGCCTTAAGACCTGCTGCTGAGCCTCTAAGGGGAGGGGGCAGGGCGATTCTATAACTACAAGAAAATGTAGACAGTTTGTTTGATGTTATGCGCAAAGCTAAACAATGGGCTGTCTATGCTGTACAGATAGCCCATTGTTTTTAGCGTTTATCAGCCTTCAGACTTACCGCCGAGCTACTGACGTGGGTGGGGTGGGGGAAGGCAATTCAGACAGATAAGCAAATGTATTTTCGACGATATGAAAAAAAAGATAATTATTTCACTATTCTGTATAAACTAATTACAAATATGAGTAAAATATGTTTGTTTTTTCGAATTTTCGCGCTAAGTTACACAATGGACTATCTACGCACACCGGTTCCTAATTTAACTGAAGCGGTAGATTAGAGGGTGTGTCTCAACCACTGGTCCGTGGGATTTCACGAAAACAGACAGAATATTCATGTGTAAATCGTCATGTTTTTTCGTTGAATTTGCACCTTAGTGGTTCGTGACAGTTGAGAGAAGCAGTGAACCTGTCCCTGGTATCAGAAAGGTTGAGAAATGCTGGATTAGAAGAAAGACAGCTAGATAAAGATATCCTCGCTAACCCTTGGGCTACTTCTTGATTAGAAGAAAGACAGCTAGATCAAGATACCCCCGCTAACCCTTGGGCTACTCTTGGATTAGAAGAAAGGTAGCTAGATAAAGATACCCCCGCTAACCCTTGGGCTACTCTTGGATTAGACGAAAGGCAGTTAGATAAAGATAGCCTCGCTAACTCTTGGGCTACTCTTTGATTAGTAGCAAGGCAGTTAGATAAAGATAGCCTCGCTAACTCTTGGGCTACTCTTGGATTAGTAGCAAGGCAGTTAGATAAAGATAGCCTCGTTAACTCTTGGGCTACTCTTTGATTAGTAGCAAGGCAGTTAGATAAAGATAGCCTCGCTAACCCTTGGGCTACTCTTGGATTAGTAGCAAGGCAGTTAGATAAAGATAGCCTCGTTAACTCTTGGGCTACTCTTTGATTAGTAGCAAGGCAATTAGATAAAGATAGCCTCGCTAACCCTTGCCTGAACGATAGAAGAATTTGACACCAATGGTCCCAAAGTGCTGAGCGCGTTTTTGCGGGAACGAGACATGAACCACGAACTCTTGGATTCACAGTCTCGGAACCCCAATCACTAGGCCACGCCCAGCCTGAGTGTGACGGGGGAGAAGATCAGTATTTTGTTAAACTTTTTATCAACAGAGTATGAACTTAGATGGAGTTTACACGTAGTTGGGTGTATTGACAGTTTTATAACTATGTGTACCATTCTTGTTTTTCTTTGACATACAAAAACTTCGTGTCGTGCTGTTCGCCGTTTACAAATAGTCGGCAAATTACCCTTTGTGCAGGATATTCTAAAGTTGCCATGCCTATTCTTTCAAAACTTATTACATTCAATTACAAGTCAAGGCACTAGTGTTTCACGTGAGTAAACTTCCCCAATTACCACACGGCGAGATACCGCAGACTGCTCGTTTCCTAGCGACGAGAGTGTCGGTTCTCACGAGCTCCAATCTCTAGTCTGAAGAGTACATATCCTGATAGAAAGAAGAGTGGCATTTGTATAAATGGCTTTTAACTTCATAATTATTACAATATAATACTCGTATGAGTATTCTGGGGGGCTAGGTTTTAATTCAACTAGGTAAGGTAAGGATAGCTGTCGTACTCACGTGAATGTTATAAAGAATACGATGATATTTAAATAGACGCTGAAATATTTGTGTTCGTGGTCAAATATACATTAAAAAGGTTGAGAAGATACATGGGATTTCAAGAACTGTCGTGAACGTCAAATAGGCATTGTTAGAATTGTAGAAATAATCAAGAGAACATTGTTAGAATTGTAGTGATAATCAAGAGAAATTGTTAGAATTGTAGTGATAATCAAGAGAACATTGTTAGAATTGTAGTGATAATCAAGAGAACATTATTAAAATTATAGTAAATAATGGACATTGTTATAGTTTTGGTGATAGTCAAATGGACATTGTTATAATTTTGGTGATAGTCAAATGGACATTGTTATAGTTTTGGTGATAGTCAAATGGACATTGTTATAATTTTGGTGATAGTCAAATGGACATTATTATAGTTTTGGTGGTAATCAAGAGGACATTGTTATAGTTTTGGTGATAGTCAAATGGACATTGTTATAATTTTGGTGATAGTCAAATGGACATTGTTATAATTTTGGTGATAGTCAAATGGACATTGTTTTAATTTTGGTGATAGTCAAATGGACATTGTTATAATCGTGTTGCTCAAGAGTAGCTTCAAGAGAAGTTAGTAAGATGAGAACTTACTTTTGGTCCGCTAGTATAGCTGTCTGGAGACATTGCAGCCCCCCCCCCCCCCAGTGGCACAGCGGTATGTCTGCAGACTTACAACGCTAGAATCTGGGTATCTATACCCCTGGTTAGCAGAGCACAGATAGCCCATTGTGTTGCTTTGTGCTTAATTTCAAACAAAACAAAAAACAAAAGAGACACAGTTGTTGACAACCCGCAAGATGACCACTGTTTTACAGTAAGGGATCGACTCAACTGCTGAGGGTCAGCTTCCTAATTGATTCAAACTGAGTTAAATCAGCTATCAGAACTCAAACTAATTGATACATGCATCATGGTTCTAGAGTTTGACAGACCCAAACTAATGGGTACATGCATCATGCTCCTAGTGTTTGACAGAACCCAAAGTAATGGGTACATGCATCATGCTTCTAGTGTTTGACAGAACCCAAACTAATTGGTACATGCACCATGCTCCTAGTGTTTGACAGAACCCAAAGTAATGGGTATATGCATCATGCTTCTAGTGTTTGACAGAACTGAAACTAATGGGTACATGTGTCATGCTTCTGGTGTTTGACAGAACTCAAACTAATTGGTACATGTACCATGCTCCTAGTGTTTGACAGACCCAAACTAATGGGTACATGCATCATGCTTCTAGTGTTTGACAGACCCAAACTAATGGGTACATGCATCATGCTTCTAGTGTTTGACAGAACCCAAAGTAATGGGTACATGCATCATGCTTCTAGTGCTTGACAGAACTGAAACTAATGGGTACATGTGTCATGCTTTTAGTGTTTGACAGAACTCAAACTAATTGGTACATGTACCATGCTCCTAGTGTTTGACAGACCCAAACTAATGGGTACATGCATCATGCTTCTAGTGTTTGACAGACCCAAACTAATGGGTACATGCATCATGCTTCTAGTGTTTGACAGAACTGAAACTAATGGGTACATGCATCATGCTTCTAGTGTTTGACAGACCCAAACTAATGGGTACATGTGTCATGCTTCTGGTGTTTGACTGAACTGAAACTAATGGGTACATGTGTCATGCTTTTAGTGTTTGACAGAACTCAAACTAATTGGTACATGCATCATGCTTCTAGTGTTTGACAGAACCCAAACTAATGGGTACATGCATCATGCTTCTAGTGTTTGACAGAACTGAAACTAATGGGTACATGTGTCATGCTTCTAGTGTTTGACAGAACTCAAACTAATGGGTACATGCGTCATGCTTCTAGTGTTTGACAGAACCCAAACTAATGGGTACATGTGTCATGCTTCTAGTGCTTGACATTTGTTGTTAGAGGCTTATTACCAAAAGTAAATTTTCTTTTCCAACGACTTTACTTCCATTTATAAGTTTTGACACAGCTGTGTGTTATAATACTGACACGCGCACCAGCTCACAGATCATTAGGTAAAGCGTGGCCTAGTGGCTAGCGTGCAAGACTGTGGATCCGAAGGCATTTGGTTCATTTCGCTCTGCTCCAGAATCGCGCTCCGCCCTTTTGGTTCCCAAACATTATAAGAGTGACGGTCAGATCCCTCTATTCGATGAGTAAAGAGTAGCGTAAGAGATGGTGGCAGATACTATATGACTATCTGCTTTCTCTCTAGTTTATCAGTTCAAATTAGGGATGGCTAATGCAGGCAGCCCTTTTGTAGCTTTGTGTGAATGTCCGTAACAAACACTGCAGGCAGCCCTTTTGTAGCTTTGTGTGAATATCCGTAACAAACACTGCAGGCAGCCCTTTTGTAGCTTTGTGTGAATATCCGTAACAAACACAGATCATTAACCATTTACTTAGCACTGAGTGAACCATTTCGTTGCTTTATTTTCAAATTGAATTTTTAATGGGCTATCTGTGCTCTGCCCACCACGGGTATCGAAACCCGGATTCTAGCGATGTAAGTCCGCAGACATACCGCTGTGCCACTGGGGGGCAAATTATTTGGAACCTATATATAGTCATCCTTAATTCTGTAAGGAAGGCAACTAATCAATAACACCCACCGCCAATTAGGGAACTACTTTTGTCTGACCGAATAATTGGGCTTGGCTGTCACTCTTGTAGAGTATCCACGTGCCTAAATTGCGTAGAAGTCGTTTCTGGGACGAACGAGTCACAAACCATGAATCTTTAGATTCACGTTCCGGGCACTCTAACCAGTAACTGAACTCTGAGTAATAAGCTTTAGCAATGCCACAGCTAATGATTAAACCACCCCCGAAGACAACTATACCCTTATGGTACGATTGGGTAAGAGCAAAAGAAAATCCCACTCTGGG